TAAGGCTCCTGCCAATAGAGTGTCTGAGGACGTCAATGTATTTGGTCACCCAGATCGCAAATGAATAACCTTCTTGTCATTCCAAGGCACAATCATGTTTTAATACAAATTAATAGCTTAATTGGTTGGCCACACACGGAAAGGCATTATGTAACTCAAATGTTAGTTTTGAGTCTTTTGACCAACCTGCTAGTATTTGACTGATAACACAAGAAAACACAAATCTAATATGAAAAAGTAGGCATTTTCCCTCTAGTTTCCTTCTCTTCTCCTTTATCAGTGTCTTCGGTACCTCTTTTTCCTTCTCTGCTGTAAGAGCTCTCATGTTTACTTATACAAGAAGTAGAAATGGAATATGTTGCCAGCACAAGGACATGATTATAAAAAATCTGAGCACGTCCGGTTGCAAATAAAGATGAATAAAGATATTGAACCTTTTGAATCAATATCTGTCTAAATATCTGGCCTCTTAGATTTGCCATCACAGACTCCCATATAATGGTCATGTTGGTGACGAAGATTATAGTAAAGATGGGTTCCAAAGAATACAAAAAGGCAATCTGAGATAGAAGTCTCCATAAAGGCTCAGAAACTGTCCCTGTAAGTGTCTGAAAGAACTTCCCTGTTACAATTTGACGTGAAGATCAGAGCAAAAACATGAAAAGAATAGCTGACAATCAAAAACATAATAGAAAATAATCCCACAACTTATCTAAGAATCACTCACCTTAGAAATTGAGTTGATCAATTTTCAATGACTTCTTAATGAAAAGAAAAGAATTTTGTGCTTATTGAATATTTTACAATTACAAGTCAAATGTTAATTCATTACTCTAATAATTTTACCAATAGCTAATGTGTAAATTAATTCATAAAGTAAAAAATTATTGGTTTATAAATGACAAAGCATCAGAGAGTGGGTCCAGCTTATTGGAAGATAACCTAGTGTCAGATCACACTATCATTGTCCAAATGATCATTTGATATTTAGAAGTTTGCATGTATTAAAAAACTCTGCTTGTGTCAAATGATATCCCTAATTCCAACAGCAAAGCAAATTGGCAAGGGTTGGGTCGATATTCAGTCCACATAGGCACAGTATGCAACAATTAAAACATATAACTTTCCCTTTCCACTTGGAAGGTAGTCAGATATTTAAGTTCAATCATCTAAATGAACATTTTCATCAAAAGGCACAAAATAAAGAACCACAGAGAACTAAGTGCAGTACCCATAGAAAAAGTCTCAATAGATCAACTAAATGGTGTTGGCATATAATATTACATCTGTGTAAATGCACACAGCATTGAGCTTGGATACTCTTGATGGTATGCAAACCTTGATACTTCCTGTTAGGTACTTTTTGCATGTTATAGCTTACGCATATGTAGTTAACCCACATCCTACCTCATAATTTTGAGCACAGATGATCATATTTTGAAATCAATTAAGCGGCAGCAACTTATAGATTAGTAAGCAGCAAGGCGCTTTGAGGGGAGGACAATACTGAGCAAGTTTCATGTTAGCTTATTCTTCTTTTAGTGATTTATATTGCAGCAAATGCAATAACGATATGGTGCATTTTGTAAGTTTGGACATCAAGAATAATAACCAAAATGCAGAAAAATAGGGACGAATAATAATAATAATCATAATTGCAGTCATACTTAGTTCAATGGCCCAATAAATTTATTTATCATTGTAGTCATAACCAATTTGTTCTTATCTTTTTTTCTTTCTTCCCTTTCAGCTAGAAGCCATCAATCACTCACAAAATTTTGTACTTTTCTACGATACTACCAATTGATATGATGACATACATTAAGAAAACTGAACCACAAAGATCAACTTTGGCAGGATTCCTCTGACAAGGAAACAAAGAACGGGGGGCGTTTGGATTGGCCATTGCAGATTGGCATCTTACGTCGGTAGGATGTATGCCTTATCCGATTAGGAGAGCACAATCTTTGACTATCTCTTTGCTAACCCTAACTAACATATATGAAACGACAAATATAATCAACAAAGTGTCATTACATGAAACGTATCGTAACACCGTCGGCGGTAACTTATACTATAATTTAATCCAAAATACATAGATGGGAGATCAATCGTCAGAGGCGCAATAGAGAACCTTTTGTCTTGAAGAGGGGGGATACGAATCGTTACCAGAGAAGATAGGCATCGCGAGGGTACAAGAAGTGCATCCAACTAGAGAGGCGAGCGAGACGGCCATCCGAATCTTGTGACGGGAGAGGAGAGACCAGATGACGCTCCAGCTAATGGCAACAGGCGGCAGGGACAAGACGTCCGCCGCGGGACTTTCATCCTTGGCGACGGGATCGGGGTCGGCTGCAGGGGCGGAGACATAGGCGGCACGAGCATGGCCTCCGCTCCTCCTCCTCCGCACGCCGGTGACGTGCGAGGGAGGGTTTCGAGCCGTCCGATGCGGGCGACGGACGAGGAGCGCGGCGGGGCATCGGCCGGAGATGGAGGAGGAGGTGAGCATCCGACTAGGGAATGGGAAGGGAGAGAAGAGGGATTGAAGAAGAGAGGTGGAGGCGGCGGCCATTGGAGAGGAGAGGAGAGTAGAGAGAGCAGGGACGGCGGCGTGGGCTTCTCCGCTGCTGTCTGCGTGTGTGTGGTTCTTGAGACTTCGGGGGGCTAATTACATAATTTTCTGCGAGCGCGTGGTTCGGGTTAATTACATTTTTTTTCCTGTACTTAAATCTTTTAGCATCGCGGTTCTTTTTTATTATTATTACATTAGAAATCATCTACTGCTACCCTTTTTTTATATTATTTGAAATAAGAGACATCATTTGGCAAATACAAAAAAAAATAGGAAGAATAAAAAAAAAAGACTTGTTCAGATAAATTACCCCCATTTATAACCGGAAACGTCGCCCCTCCAACCGGAGTCGATGGCCGGACCGTGAATTGTCCATACGCAACATTTTTACGCGTAGTATTGCACGAGAGAATGGACGGGCCATCCGACGCCTTACTCAGCGCGTAACAAATTCCACACGCGAATTCTGGCGCCAATTCCTACTCCAATTTGGGGACGCTTCTTTTCGATGGTGTTGCGCTTCTCTCCATCCCGAAATCCCTCCTAATAAAACACAGATTTCGCCCTCTCGTCCTCTCATTACTTTAGGCTATTGGGAAGGAGATGTGCGCGACTGGGCAGGGAGACGACGTCGAGCCTCCACTTGGGTTCGAGTAGGGTACGCATATCCGAATTTAGATTTTGGTATGCTTTTTCTTCTTTTACTTTTCGTTGCTTGTGCGTGTGGGAGTTGCCTTCGTTCTGAGAATGATGGATCGTCATTGGCCTTTTCTGGTTGTGGCATTTCGATGCGCCATTGGAGCCATTGATGCCAGGGTTCGCCCGACGGCGATTTCTATTACCAGATAAATATCGAATCGCGTTCTTAGGGGTTAAATCTAGGGTTTCAATGGCTTCAGATTCCAGTTACACGTTTCCTTCCTTTACAAAGGGGTTGGTCTTGTCGATTACATAGTAATCGCATCTAAATTGAAGTGAACTGAAAGGAAAGTTTTTTGTTTTTCTGACATTAGGCTCTTCGTCCATGTCCATCTTGGATCCAGCCTTCATGGCATGCTCTTATAACCCTTCTACCTCTGCTGCAACCTGCTTTATTACTGACTTCGGTTCATGCATCACCATGTCACTTGTCGTTTTCATTTGGAATGAAAATGAGTTGATTGTCGCATTTAATAATTGAGTAATGCAGTCACATCCTGAGCGGAAAAGATACCACAACACAAGAACAAGATGCTGTTGGACTAATAGACCTTCATGGATTTGCACTCGAAATTACAGCAATAAATAGTTTCATCACAGACCAATACACCAAAAGAGCCCCCTAACTACTTGGTGGTTATGGGTATGGAACACAAGTAAATCCAGGTGTACTTAGAGGTCACTGGCTTGTGTCACATGATATGGGCCACCAAAAGAGCTCACTGGCTTGTGTCACATAATATGGGCCTTTGCTGAATGCCTGACACTAGCATTCCATGGTAACCGGTATCTTTTTCTTTCCAATATAAATTACTGTAAGAAACGATTACACAATTATAACCATTGCCTCTGGCATCAGAGGCAATCAAAACAGAGAAATCTAGGGACCAAGCATCTTTCCAAAATTCTTCCACCCTATTGGTCCTAGCAAATATATATATATATATATATATATATATCATCATCAAGAGTAATTTTCTCAGCGAGTATAGACTCAAAGAGTTACGGACAGAAAATTAAAGATATTCCCGCATTGGTCATTAGAAGGGGGAGGTGGTGAGCAGATCTCCTCGTCAGCCTCCACCTCCTGATAGAATTACTTTTGCACCTTTTGTTTTCGAGTAATGATTACGAATGCTGCTGAGTTTTTCATTTAACAAAGTTGAATTTATTATGGCTTTGTGTGGCTGCTCTCAGGTTCTTCTGGCTCTACCGCAGTCTTTATTGTGAAGCATCAGTTTTGGGCAAGGGTTGCAGCCCTTCTCTCGTTCCTTGGGTTATATTAGATTGCATGAGTGTCCTAAGCCATGTTAACATTAGTAAAGTTTCTGGGTGACCAAGTGTGAAAAGCCACACTTTGTAAATTTATTAAGAAAATCCATGTTAAGAAAATCTATGTACTATAAACCATGTTAAGAAAATATATTAAGAAATTTCAAGCACTAAACCGTATTAAGAAAATCCTACACAACACTTTTTGGTTTGAAGTGCTTTAGTTATCATGCAATTTTGAGTCACAGCGGTACGTTCTTTACTGGCAGGCGCGTGGAAGTGACTCCTTCGAACACAACTCCCATTGGCCAATGACGTTTGAAGTACATCATTGTTTCGAGATGGAGTTGTTCTAAGATTCAACCACGAGCATGAGAAGAAGCAACGGATGATGGGACGCTAAGATGAATTGGAGCAGCTGGGAATACCATCAAACCTCACGGTAATTTGTGCACGCTGTTTCATATATGAACCAATTTTATTGGATATTTTTACATCTCACTGGGTCTCCGAACAAGCAAGAACAATCTACCCTCGTTATTGCCACTTACACAAGAAAATAAACCAATCAATAACGAGATTTTTTTTTTCTGATTTACTAACGTGATACTAAATCCTGTACCAACTCCGCCACAGCTGACTCGAACAGGGCATTTTCCAGTTGCATCCCCAGTTCCTCCTCTACCTCGTCGAAGCATCTCCACCGTCCGTTCCCCTCCATCTCCCTCAGCGTCGCCTCCCCGTGGACGTCGTCCAGGTCTCTGCATCTCCTGCCGTCGATCCAATCTCTAGCGGTATTCAACATCTCCCGCGTCTCCCCGCGGACCGCGCGGGGCGGTCGCGTGCGGCCCCATCGCAACGGACGGTCGCGATTGGCGTAGCTGGAGCGGCACTGCCCTTGGATGAAGAAGTCCAACAGAAGCTTCTCCACGCTCCCACGTGGACCCTCCTCGAGCGGGCTGGCCTTCAGCTCGCCGAGTAGGCCCCACGCTCTCTCCTCCTCTCCCTCACCGCCCGAGGATGCCACGTGGTCGGTGGATTCTTGGAGATCATCCTGCGACGACGACGCGGAGAGAACCCCGGGGTCCAGCTCGGCGAGCATTTCAAACCGTCTGATCCTGCGCAGCAGCTGCTCTTTGGTCCCTGCACGCATTAAGCAAATCAAACCGGTCACACAACGGGGACGTGAGACTCCTGATCTAATAAGAGCAGCAGATGGGATGAATCCCCCTTCTTTTATTCTGTTCCCTTTTACTTGGAGGGGAGGGGGGAAGTCTGCATTTATTGATTCTTCTGGTGTTTTGCGCAGGAGGGCGTTCCGGTGGAACAAGACGAAAAGAATTAACGGCGTGGGGCCCAGCCCAACAAAAAGAATCCAAGGAGTCCGAGCGTGCGTTACAAATTGGTATCTCCTCGAACCAAATTCTCATTGTCGATGCGTATTATATTTTCTTTAAATACTTGGTATGGGACCAAAGACACGTACGCTCAATGTTGGCGAGGCTGCGATGGAACGTGGTGGTGGCATCCTGTTCCTCCTCGTCATCGTGCCCGTTATCTTGTTGGTAGGGATAGTCGATGACCGAAACTGGGCTTAGCTTCTCCTCCTCCTCCTCTTCCTCGGAGTTGCACTCGTAGGACTCCGTCTCTTTGCTATCCGATACCTATTTCCGTTCCATTCAAAATTAGAAGAACTAATTAAGTCGTTTGTGAAACAGAAGAGATAATTGATTCAGTGAAGAGGAAAAAGAGCATGATGCGTAGGTGTGTGATTGACCCCAGGAACTCATTTACTCTACCCGATAAACATTGGCATAAATATTTAGGATCAATCAAGTAAATTATCAAGGTACGGTCCTCGATTCAGATAATATCGAATTCCGGGTCAAATACTAGATGGATTCGACCCGATTCCCCGAAGACACGCAAGGGATTAATCGATCATGGGTTGGAAAACAAGAACCCACTCGAATCACAATCCGTCCGTAGAATAGACTGCAAAGGCCACCGCCTAAACCTTCACACGCGTCGTCGAGGTCCCCAGTCTCTGTGGGACTTGCTTGTTACGGACGAAACTTTCAGACAAGAAAAGTGTGCATGACAGAACAAGAGAAGATAAGGTCTAAGAACTATACTGTGGCCTAAGAATATCCTATACTTGTGTTAGGTTGAACCTCATATTTAAAGGATATTGCTTTGGATGGATCAATCACCATCCTAACTTTCCACGATATCACGCATCATGTCATGATACATCCGAACGCGGAATATACCTAAGCAATCATTAACCTGGCTCTCCACAACACCACGCATATCGTGTTATCATTACTACAGCTATTAGCTACTTTCACTTTTTAATGTTTATAATGTTGATCTAACGTCCACCCCATTCCCTACTTTACTTCCTCGAGGGTCGTACAAATTGGAAGTATCCAATTGTTACTAGTATTGCAAAGTATTAGAATCCTCCCTCTCTATGTGATGATTGTCGAACAAGTTAACAGTGACAAGTAACAGAAGACAAGTACAAACCCATCCACCAAAAGATTTGGGGAGGGCCATCTACAGATATAGCATTAAATGGCTGGAGCTGAGCGTCCCTAATCATAAAACTTGGGGGCCCAAAATAATTGAGGTACCAATTAATAAACAAGTTAATTGAGTAAAATAAACCCTCACCTTCGCCGGTCGGCTGGCGATGGCTTCACCCTCCGATTTCTCATCGTCGGCCTTCTTCTCCGACTTGTCATTAAGGTTTGGGCCACGTGACGGTGATTCTTTTCTCCTCCCACCCGCGGAGGCAGCGTTCTCGTCCAGGCTCTCCGAGCTCGCCATGGACGCGGGGAGGAGGTCGGAGACTGTGCCGCAGGACTCCGTCTCCGACCAACTGCTGAGACTACTAGCAACGGGGGAGGGGAATCGGAGAGACTTCCACCCTTCTCCGTTCTCGTCGAACGATCGGTGCCGTACGATGTCTCTGACCTTGGCCCTGCTGTCCACCGCCGCCTGCTGGTCTGCCTTCTTTTCTTTCTTCTTCCACAAGCTTCCCCTGAGCCGCCTCGATATGCTTCTGGAAAGAGATCCGTCATGCCCCGGTAGGCACCTACCGTCGGAGGAGGAAAAAGGCAGGAGCTTGACGGCATTGATCGCGGCGCAGAACTTCGACCGGGTATTTTTATTAGATTGCGCTGTGTGGACCAGCCTCGCCGCGCCGCTACGGAGCTCCGCGTCGAGTAGGCACCGGATGGTGGGGACACCGGCGAGACCGGAGGAGGCAACGGATTCCGAATCGTCGTCGTCGTCGTCGAGCTCGAGGTAATCCTTGAGCATGAGCGGCTTCCTAACCATCATCATCATCATCACCGGATGTTTCAAGGGATTGTATTAGGACCGGAAGAGGCAATTAACAGGCCGGAATGGCAGCTTTGGAGGCGGCGATAAGCAAAAAGGAAGACATGGGAGATAGAGGGAGTAGAAAACCATTCGATACTATATCGTCATACTTGCAAGTGGAGAGAAGAGAGAACGAGCGGAAAGAGATCATAGCAGAGGAAGAAGAGGTGGCTCGGCAGGCTCTGCACGCATGGATACTCGGCTCCTTGTGGTGGAGGAATCTCTTTAACCCTTTCGATGTTCTATTTTCTTTATTTATTTATTCTTCTTTTCTCGTCCACTAGCAATAACTTTTCTTACCCGCCGACGAGCCTACCCGGTTCACTTACGGGTTAGAGAAACCAAGTAGGCTGCGACGTGAGAACGAGTAATATTTGTGGTCTTTGTCCGTTGGTAGGGGCCACCACGTGGTGAGTATGAGAATGACGTCCTCGACACAACGAGAAAACGTATATATAAATTCATGGACCTTGTCCTCATGTCCTTCACTGTCGGTCATCTTTTTTGTTTTTTAATCCTCGGCCAATCTTAATATATTAAAAAAGGATTTTTTTATGTATTTGTTTCTTTTATAACTGTAGTTCTTATACCACTGATATCATTATACTGTTTCCCTTTGGCTTATTTTATATCTAGTCCAATAAAAAGATCTTGTGAAATCGACCGGTCATTATTATGAGATGATCATGTGGAGTAGCAGTAAATTTCAACTGTATGAAACCCAAACATTAAAGTCTTGCTCATCACCTACATAGAGATAAAGAGGTTGGTATTGTAGAATGGTTTCATATAGTCAGTCAATAGGGTGGGACGAGTCAGGGACACGGGAGAGAGCGATGGGACGCAGGGGGGCTTGCGCGTGTGGGTTGATGGCGATCCCTCATCGGAATTAATGGTTGGCTTTGCTGCCCGTGACTTCATGTGCCGTTCTAAGGCGCCTCCTTTTCGGACGGACCTCGGTCCCCCACATGCAGTGATGAAGACGCACATCTCCCTTTTTATCTGCAGTGAACACAGCAACATTGATTAAGAGAAACTTTTAATCATGCATGGGTTTTCATTTGATTAGAATTGAGCCCGGCCAAGTAAGTAATCACACAAAGCCGAACATATGGCTCTCTTCTTTTTCTTTCTTATTAACTTTTGCCTATTTTTAGTTGAAATGGTTCAAGTTTGAACGATTTCACAGCATGAAACACGTTTGACGGGGAGAAGCCTGCTGTTTCACCTCGACGTACGTCTGAGTGTTACTTATTCGGCCTCGTGCGGATCGCGAAGATACGCCGCTGTCGGGACACGCATGGCTCGAACGCTCAGCCTGTCTTGGACGCATTTGGGTCGGAATGTTTGTACATGGTCAGAGTTAGAAACATTTGGGAGCAGCTGCATGTTACGTTGGGAGGTTGTTCGTTGCCTGTCTCCAGACTCGTGACTGCATCTGTCTGTGCACACCTTGTTCTTCGCTGTTTTCAAATCTCTACTGCCTTGTGCAATGGTTCTTCTATCCAATTATCAAACCACTGCCACATAGTAATCGCTCTGCGTCTGAAATGGTTAGTCGTCAATGTTGACTTCTGGCCAGCTTTCAGAAGCTTTAATGCCTCGGGGATGGGTACGTAGCACCGAAGAGTCGATCATTATGATGTACAATAATAATGAGGAAGCAGGGTTTTACTTGCGTGTCTAGAGTTCTTTGGGCAAGTGCATGTGGAAGAAGGCGTGTGTGTCTGGGCTTCCTTCCTGGTTTGGAGATTCCTCTTTGCTCGCTGAGGTTACCAGCAGACTCTGCGTTGCGTCTGTTGTTAATATTGTCCATCTAATATCAATCACGTAATATATATTCTTTTGAAGTGGTGGCTGGGTATCTGCACTTGTACGATTTTTTAAGTTAGATTGTGTTAATACGATTGGGTTTTGATTTAAATCAAACTCACTAATGGTTTGGGGAGAAGACAATAACAGTTAAGTGAAGGAAGCCTCTCCAATCCTTCGTTTGTTGCATGCGGTACTCTCCTAATCGCACAATTGCCACATGCTTCACTCTTAAGAGTTATGCACGGCTCCGACCCCTAACCCTAACTCCATCCCTTCACCGTCGTCGTTGCATTGGCCACAAGCATTCCCTTCACCGAGGAGGATATCGCGTCGGAGGAGAGGTTTTGGGACGTGTACGAGCGGTGGCAGAGCCTCTGTGGCATGTCACGTAGCGTCGACGAGAAGAACATCCGCTTCGACGTGTCCAAGGCAAATACTAACTACGTGTTTGAGTCCAATAAGAAGCTTCTCGTCGAGGCTGGGAATGACCAGGTTGAGGTGCGACAACCGGCTATGTAAATGGAAGCTTCTCGTTGAGATGCCTCTCGGCGGTGTATCGTACATGAAGCTCCTGGCAAAGTGTAGGTGCATTCTTGTACATGAAGCTCCCTTTGAGGCTAGCACTTTCTCTGAGCATGCTGCAGCTGATGAGGGTAATAATGATGACATGACGCGCCACGACGTCAGTCACGCTTGAACGACACTGTGCCCTAAAGAGGACAATAATGCCGACGCGATGTACGCTGACGTCACCCGCTCTCAGACAACGACTTCATCGTTGACCGACCCAACATGCTTGGCCAAGGCAGAGGAGAACGACGACCGAGGCTTGCCCATGCCTTGCGGCAGTTCGGTTCTCCACACAACGCCAACGGCAATGTCAGACGCCATCAGAGGTACGATCCTACTCCTGCGAGCAGGCACATCAAGTAACACTAAACTTACTTATAAATACCCCCAAGTTCTAAACGAAGGGGAGGAGGACTTCTTCATCCAAAACCCCCTCTGCATCCACTGACTTGATCGTCGGAGGGGTCGGACCGAGCTTCCGACCCGACCTGTGTGCAGGTACGAGAACGGGGTCGCCTCTTCCCGGCGCTGCGGCAAAGCTTTTCTCCCGACGCGACACCCCGATCGGACCACCGCAATCAGCCGCCAGGAGATCTCGAGGGACGTCGCGCAAGATCCCCGTCATTCGGACCCCCGAACCAAGCCGCGTCGGCCCCGAGGTCACGGCATAAAGTTGTTTACACTAACAGCAGCGATGGCTCCTCGTCGCTGCATACGGCCTCTTAAGCTCCTCTTGTTCCGAACTTGTTGAGGCTCAGCTTGTAAGTCTTGGCCTTCTTGTTGGACTCGAATACGTAGTTGGCATTCGCCTCGAACACGTTGAAGCGGATGCACTTATCGACGTCAAGGATGCACGACATAAAGCCACCACTGGTACAGGTCCCAAACCTCCCGAAGGTTGGGAAAGATCTGTATATCAATGCATAAATGGTTCTATAAAGCACTATTTGTGTGAGAAATCCTACAGTGTGCTATGATGGATCTGAGTTTCCATCGTAGATCTCCGATGTTCGTAGTCAGAACCCCACGAGAATAGGTTCATTCTGAATGCTCTATATGAGGGGTGACTAGATGTAAGTTGCTGACTCCGGGTTCTTCCCTATTTGATTTCTTTCTTAATATCTTTGAGATGCTGATCCATCTCGAAGAGACGCTCTCGAATCTCTAAGGAGAGTCTTATTAAATGAACTTTCAACTCCCTTGATAATTCTCATCCTAGTTCGAACAGATAAGCACGATGTGCAATCCCTCAAGGAGCTTCACTCTATGGTGGTCGTGATTCAACTTATGGAAGGAGGATTTCAACACAAATAGGAGCAATCTCATTTGGCTAAAATGTAATACTATTTCTGATAGAGATGCATAATTTATTATCATTCCTTTTAGTAATGATAAAATTTGGGCCTCTCTGAATTCACTCGAGTTAGGAAAATACATAACACTCTACTCTTAATTCCACACATATCATACATGCATATACTCATGACTAGAATAGGATGCCACCTTGCTATTGTTTTATGTTATTAACAATAATATAATGGGAAAGTTGATAAATTTGAAATATGTTCGATTGCTAAGCAAAACTATATGGCCTCTCCTATACATAATAGTGTCTGACAATTATACCTATGTTATAAACACATAAATCACAAGAATCATACTTGCATATTCTGTTAAAATTTATATATACAAAAATCATCATAGGTTATCATCTATATTTGTGCTTTGGCATGGGCTCCAGTTTGTTCACCTCTTTACCTATTCATATGAATAGGATATTAGTATCTTTACTTACAAAATAGGGTCTATAATAAGTAACAACTCAGCTATAAGTTTTTATAGTTTTATTTAAGTGAGAATACATCGTATCCTATACGCAACATTTTAAAATCAAATGTATAAAATATTTCATGATAAAATTACTTCTTATGACACCCTTAACAACATATAACGTACCATGATAGATGCATAATAAAAAGATAAAACCTTGATTCAAAGTAAATGCTAACACATTTGTCCACAGGTAGGTCATAGTACATGTAATAGGAAAATATAGTTCATCCATGAACTCTCATATCACATATCATGATATATACATGTACTTTCACATCGTATTATCACGAACTTAGTTGGTTTTGCCTAAGTCGTGCAGCACTCTTACGTATCCGTCCGCAAATGTCAGTCTCCCCGAAACCTCCTATGGCCCCTTAGGACTTATAAAGAATAAAACAGGTTAGAGAAAGCACATCACTCGAGATCCACAAATAATCATTTCAGTAAACACTTCATAGCCAATGCAAATTACAAATAAACTTTATAAGCTCTGAACGGTCGCACAACAAAAGGTCTAAGATGGTCCACTACAGACCGAATATCTCTCACAAGTGTCCACATGACACAATATTTATTTACAAGCCTATAATAGCTACCAAACCCAACTAAAAATGGATTGTTAAGCCTTCGACCATCCCTCTACATGTTGTCCAAAGCATGGACAAATCAAAAGACACGGACATACGTAAGCATTATATTAAACACTTTGTTTACAATTTTGTCCATGACAGTATATCATAATATATATATTCATCATTCATCATTAGCACTCCCACACTACACGTCGTAACATATATATGTATTCCTATTCTATACATCATAACATATATGCATACTTCCATATTGTATTGTTGAATCTCAGATTTTGATGATGAAGTCAATCGTCATTTGTTATCTAATCTATGTGTTGAGATAAGTGTGCAGGAATAACTACGATGAAAGTAAGACATGCAGCAGGAGTTGCGCCGGAGTCAAGACAATGATCACGTTGGGAGTTCGAGA